GCAGGGTCCGAGCGCGGCGCAGGAAAGTCCAGCGCAGCGGCGGGCTCTACCGCGGCTGCCGCGGCCTGCGACTCGAATGACTCGGCCAGCATCTCCCACGGCGTCGGCTGCGCAGCGGCCTCCAGCGCCTCTCGTGGCAGCGCCCGCATGCACGCGGCCACAGTGCTGCAACGAGCCTCCCGCAGAGGCGAGAACGCCCGCGCCTGCCGCAATTGAAGTCGAGCACGTGGTGCAAACGCTGGGGCCTGAAAACTCTTGCAGACGAGTGTCATGAGGTAGACCCCTAGCCAACAGACCGCAAGACGGCACCTGCCGTGGGTGACAGCCATGGGTGGCGCGTTGGTGAGCCAAAACAGCTCTGGAAGTTGGATGGCAACACATGGAAGCACCAGCTCGACGCCTCACCAGCTAAGCCGCGGGGACTTGTCAGCGCACAGCGCCTCTTTGAGGTTGAATCGGAATGTATTCGGACTGCGTTCGTGTCTCGACGCCACGGATGCTGCACCTCAAGCCATCACAGGTCACAGGTCACAGCATGTATGCCCTTCAACCCTCGCTCTGCTCTGCATGTCAGACACTACGTGGCATGAAAACAAACCAAATTAGCAAATTGCGACAGTCCGTTCTGTGCGGATCAATCGCAACAATGTGAAGACCGCTTTCGCTTGCGCTTCTGCACGATCCGCGCACACCGCCATGCCGATTGACCCGTCGCCTGAGAAGCATGCAGAAACATGCTGGCGGTTTGTCACCGCACACTCCACGGCGACAGAAGTACTATTCCTGAAGTGGCGCCGTCCACGATTTAGCACTAAGCGCGCGGAAATCGATGGACGAGCCAGATGGTCCTTGCTCTTTGTCCCCCAACGAACACAACAACCAGGAAGGGCAGATCGATAAATCCACTGCCATTCAGGCGGGCTATCCCAGTCGCGCGGTACACGGTCAAACTAACCCAGCGAGCAAGGTGCCCCGCCAGTCAGAAAACCATAAAATCCCATGCCTGAGCCAGATCGTCCTTCTGCGCGAACCTCCCAGCAACTGTTGCTGCTGTGGCTGACGTGGCCTCTCCTGGGCGCCGTCCCCCGGACCGCACACATCACACGCCACCTCCTGCAGGGTCCTCGAATTGCCTCTGCCACTTCTGCCTGCTGGAAGCTCCCTGTCCCACAAAACCGATTCAGGAATCCTGAACCGAGAGGTCACCCACGGCAGCTTTCAACTAGAGCACTGCGTGCAGCGGCTCGCGGGCGTACCCTCAGTACGCAAAACCGCCAGGCTGTCCAGCGGCCAGTGCCCCCCTGAGTCAAAGCCGAGGGCTCGGCCCACGCACACCTTCCCCCCTGTCGCCGCCAGTGGCTGTCAGCTCAAGCCACTCCCGCGGCTCGAGGAGGGAGGGGAAGGGAGGGAGAGATTAGGAGGCAACCCCTGCGAGCCCTTCGTGAGAACAACTACTGTAGGGCTGTTGAGCCAGAAATCAAAGCCACTAAGCCAGCTTAGCCCCAAATACGCCAAGGACTAAGCCCAAGTAGATTTAAACAGTCGGGGCGCTGGCAGAGTAGTTTTGCTACCAACCGCAAATATACCAACGCTGATGCTGGATGCAACCTCCCAGGAGCTGCATACGAAGAGGGGGGTGAACAGCAAAAGCTGGGAGCTTGATCGCCAAGAGGAATTCGCTCTCTAGCTTGTTCAGCTCCACGTTGTCCAAGACCTCCCCGCCCTTGAACCCAAAACAATTGCCAACGTGGACAGACTGATGCAAGCAAGCCGTCCTAAGCGATGACCAGCACCACACGATAATGTTGACCACTCACGGCCCGATCTGCTGGCGCGGGAAGTGCACTCAGGCACGTTAGTTGGCAAACGGCTTGCAACATTACTCCGACGGTAGGACCCCACATGAGAATGTGATTAGATTTGCCCTCGGTTCTTTCCTATTCCCCCTGGCGGACATCCCCCCCTCGCCCTCTGCTTTGCCTTTTCCTCCTCCTCCTCCTCCTCCTCCTCATCATCATCATCATCAGAATCCTCCTCCTCATCATCCTTATCATCATCATCGTCGCCATCATCATCATCATCATCATCATCATCATCATCATCATCATCATGATCATCATCATCCTCCTCCTCATCATCATCATCATCATCATCATCATCATCATCATCAACAACAACAACATCATCATCATCATCCCCCTCCTCCTCCTCCTCCTCCTCCTCCTCCTCCTCCTCCTCCTTCTATTGATCCTCCTCCTCCTTTTCCTCCTCCTCCTCCTCCTGTTCCACCTCCTCATCATCATCACCTTCCCCCATACCCCTTCCCCCCTCCTCATCCTCATGCCTCTTCTCCATGTACACTCCCCTTTTTCCCTGGTCGGGGCCAGCAAGTCGATTTCCGTCGGCGCCGTCGCCGCCTCGGCCAGCGCGCGCGCGTCCGCCGACGGCTGGATCGCGAAGCCTTCTGACAATCCCGCGGGCCATGCCCTTGGGACAACCCTGCGGGCCATTGGGGCACGGGGGCGGGCCGTGGGGACAATCCCGCGGGCCAGGCCGTTGGCACAATCCCGCGGGCATCGAGGCGGGCGCGGCCGCGCTCAGGCGGGGGGCACCGCGAAGCCCGGCCGTGCTGCGAGGTGCTCCGACTCGTTTCTGGAGCTCTCCGCTATCTTGTCGAACTGCCAGAGCGATTTCCGCGAGGACGCCGGCGGCCCGCGTTCCAGGAAATTTCACGTGGGCGGCCGCAGGATCAGCATGTTCCGCATGCGCGTGGCGCGGCAGAACGTGACGCACATAGAGGTGCAGCCACCACCGCTCGTCCGACACGCCCGTGCCACCAGCGTCCTCATCCCTGGCGCAGTCGATGGCGACGCCATCGCCGCGTCGGGGGACTGGGTTCAGCCGAGCGAGTGGCCCTCTCAGGACAAATAACGGCCCCGCTCGGATTGGCCCGCGAGGGTTCGCATGACCCTTCGTTTCGTTCCTGAAGAGCCCAACAGTGACGGCAGCTACGAGACCCCGAGGACTCGCTCAGATTCTAACATGGAGCTGCGGGCCGCCCGTCGTCGTCCCTGGGACGGGCCTCTCTGCCACCCTCCCCTCCTTCCCTCTTCCGATTAAGCGCCACATGTGTGGACTAACTCTGTAAGTCCGTAACTCACAGACGAGGTTCCCGCCTGAGACTTCCTCAATATTCAGGCCTGGCAGGGGACCCAAAATTGGCCAGGTTATGGTTTCGCATGACCCGCTCGGATTGCCAATGTGCAGCGCAGGCCCCATACGGAGGGGGCTCCGGCTTGAGACTTCTTCACACTTCACTCACGAATGAAGCTCACGCCTGAGGCTTCTTCAAGGTTCATTGGCTGACGCCGCACGCCGACCCCTTGGGGCGGCAGTAAGAATGAGAAACGGAGTTTGCGGAACGCGCGCAATTTCTGAGGAATCTTGGGGCTTCAGTTTCTTAGGATTTCGTCGGGGGCGGTTGGCGAATCGCGGCTCTGCTCTTAAGCTTCTCTGGGCTCTCCTGGCGGAACTTTTGAAGCCTCTTGGGAGCCGTGTTGACACCTCTAGGGGCCTCGTTTGGGCCTGTCGGGGGCCTCGTGAGAGCCTCTTGGGAGCCTCTTGGCGCCTCCTCAAATTTTTCGGGGCCGGGTGCTCGAAATGTCCATTCGGGTTCCCCCTCTGGGCCTCATTTTGGGACCGTCTGGGGCCCTCCTGGGCCGTTTTGGAAGCTTCTGGGGCCGTCTGGGGGCTCTCTTGGGCCGTCTTGGATCTCGGGTCGATCTTGAAGGCTTCTTGGGCCGTTGTGGGCCTCGTGAAAACCCAAGAGGGAAACGTGATAAAAATCTACGTTTTACCCTTGACAATGGGACGATTTGTGCTTCTGGAGGGCCTCTTGGAACGGCTTCTCTCGGGGCGTCTTGGGGGCCTCTGGGGCCGTCTGGCGGCCATCTTGGGCGTCTTGGAGCGATGTCTCGGCGATTTCTTGGCCCGTTCTGGCGCCCCCTGAAGCTTCAAGGGTGCGGCCGGCCCTTTTGCCCTCCAACCCTCCGCCCCCCCTCCAAACCGGCCGGACCAGGCTCCCGGGGGAGGGGTTTGGGGAGGGGGCGTGATCCCAAGGGGTCGGCGGTTTCAGGCGCGAGGGGCCCATCAGTGACGACATTTACCGGATTTGGATGACCCGCTCGGATTGCCAACATGAAGTGCGGGCCCCATAGGGAAGGAGCTCCCGCCTGAATCTTTCTCGCAAGTCACTCACAAATGAGGCTCCCGCCTGAGGCTTCTTCAAAATCCAAGCGTGAAGGGCTCAAACGTGACGACAGATGCAAGATTTTGATGACCCGCTCGGATTACCAACATGCAGCGCAGGCTCCATGGGAAGGGAGCTCCCGCCTGAGACTTCCGCACAAATCATTCGCAAACGAGGCTCCCGAGTGAGCCTTCTTCAAAATTCAAGCGCGAGGGGCCCAAACGCGACGACGGTTACAAGACTTGAATGGCCCGCTCCCATTACCAATCTGAAGTGCAGGCCTCATAAGGAGAGGACTTTCTTGCAATTCACTCACAGACGAGTTGCCCGCCTGAGGCTTCTTCAAAATTCAGGCGCGAGGAGCTCAAGGGTGACGACAGTTATAAGATATGGGTGACCCACTCGGATTACCAACATGAAACGCGGGCCACATAGTGAGGGGGCCCGCCGTACACTTCCTCTAGATGAATGTATGAGTGCGTGACTGTGAGAGAGTGCGTTTGTGTGTGAGTGTGAATGAGTGTGGGAGCGATGTCGATGACGATGGTGATGATGCTTGGTGAGTGAATGAGTAAGTGAGTGAGAGACTAAGTGATGATAAAGATAACGATGATGAGGAGGAGGAGTGCACGTACTGAAAGAGGAAGAGACGAGGGCCAGCGGGCAAGACGCGAGACGAGGGCAAAATGTCCGCACGCGCCCGAGCCCATGCGCCGATCTGCTTCCGGAACAATGCTTCGATGGAAAGGCTCTATGCTTGTAGACGATGCAGAGCTGCTACGCGCGCAGAGGCGATGGCAGCGGCGCGGATGGGCGAGCCACCATCGGCTCGCCATTTCAGAATATGAAACAGCTGCGTGGCCAACGCCACCGCGCGTACACAGACAATGCGCAGCCGCGCTCGGTGCTCACTCATGTGGCCTAAACCAAAAAACGTGGCCCCACTGCTCAGCTCACTCGCCTCCGCAGGCGCCGCGACAGCGCTGCGGAGCACCGGGCACGCCATGTAGTGCGACAGGGCGCCCCGCGCCTCGCAGCCCATGATGCACGGGCGGTGCGCGATGACGTGCACCCTGCCCGACGTGATCCAACCGTTGGCCACGGCGCGCAGCCACGACCACGTCCAGGCGGGGCGAGCCGCGCGCAGCTCTGCGCGGAGCTCCAGCCAACGGCCCCGCAACTCCCCGGCGGGCACCTCCAGGCCCCAGCGCCGCAGACGGCGGCCGATCAGCTGGTCGAGGCGCTCCTCGTAGAGGCCGTCGCGGATGGCGCGCATCGCCACGGCCTGGCGCTTGACCGTCCCAGGAGGGACCGCCCGGGCAGCAGCCTTCTCCTCGTCGCCCATGGCGCTGCGAGCCGCCTCGACGAGGGGCGTCGTCACAGGGACGGGCACCTTGTCAAGCACGGGGCGCGGGTGCGGCAGGGCGCCGCACTGCTCCATCACGAGGCCGTAGTTCTGGACGATGGAGCGCTTGGTGGCCCACCAAGGCGGCGACCACGAGCCCTCCAGGACGCTCACCAGCGGGAGGTTCTCGACCGCCGCGCCGCGCAGGGCATGCAGCGCGGGCACCCAGCCGCGCACCGCGTGAGCCGCTGCGCGGAGGAGCGCGGCGACCGAGCACGGCAGCAGGCCCATCGGCGCGGGGGAGCCGCACCACGCACCCATGGAGGGGATGTCCGCCATGCGCATGGCCGACGGCGGGAAGCGCAGGAGGCGGTTGAGCATCGTGACCTCGACCCGCCAGATCTCGGGGATGACGAAGAAGAGCTGGGCCAGGTAGGAGAGACACGGAAGCACGTTGACGTTGTAGGCGCGAGCGGCAAGGCTGGCCGCCACGCCCGCGCGGCTCATCTCCGCAGCCCGCGACCGCCACTTCGCCGCCGAATCCTTCCAGATGCCCCGCTCCGCGATGCCAGGGCCGATGCGCGTGCCCAGGTACTTGGCCGAGGATTCGACGCGGAAGCCCCTCCAGCTCGGGACCATCTCGGCCAGGTACGCCTCGGCGTCATTGATAAGGTCGGGCGCGACCTCGGCCCAGAGCGGGACCAGCACGCACTTGTGGATCGCAAGCTGGAGGTTGAATGCAAGCTCGATGTCCACGAAAGACTCGGCGATGGACGGGGGGATCTCGGCATTGCGGATGAGCATGCCCAGGTCGCCCGCGCACGCTGCGAGGCAGCCTTCAGGGGGGTCTCCCAGCGCCTTGATCAGAGCGCGGATCGGGGCGCCCACACCCAGGCACTAGACCGTGCCCGAGAGGGGGCACCCCTGCATGATGCCGCACCTCAAGGCAAAGAGCGGCCCCTTCGCCGCGCTGCCCCCCGAGACCCGGAAGAAGCCGAAGGCAAGGCAGTTGCAGCACAGCGCCGAGATCGCACTGCAGTAGCCCAGCGGGACGCCGCACCTCGGCAGCACGACGTCGATCACGTCGCGGAAGAGGGACGGGAAAGCCTGTTTGAAGTCGAAGGAGAGCAGCATCGGTCGATGTTGAGCGGCGCCAGGGAGGAGCCCCTCGCGGCGGCACTCCGCGCCCAGGGACGGGACGTGGCCCACGAAGCGTCGCCCAGCAGCGAAGCCCTTCTGCACCCCTTCCGTCGCGACGGAGGCAATGGGCCGCAGAGCGCGATCCGCGCAGGAGGCAATGAGTTTGGCGCCCGCATTCTTGAGGGAGAGCGTGCGCACGAGGCCGTTCGAGCACACGAGTCGGGCGCGCCCTCATCCTCCGCCCCCTTCGGCGCGCAGAGGAAGATCGACCAGTTGAGATCATGCGGCCCTACGCCCTCGTTGAAAAGCTGCTCCATCAAAGCATGGAGATGCAGGAGAGCCCCAGGGCTGCGCCGCCACGCTGCGCATGGGAGTTGGTCAGGACCAGGAGCGCTTGGCGGGGCCCGCGCTGCGGCGCGCCCCAGTGCGCGCAGCGACGGCTGCGGGAGCTCCACCACGGGTAGCTGCGGGGCAAAGCGGTCAAGGAACTGGTTGGGCCGCAGCTTCTGCTCCGCGGTCGGCGCGCGGTCGAAGATCTTGCCCCAGTGCTCGGCCACAACGCCCGTCATGCCCGCGGAGTCGCTGGCCACCTCGGGAGGCACGTCCGCGGCGGTGCCGGAGGCGCATGGGGCTGAGTCAAGCCGCAGGCCAGCAAGCACCATTCGTCGACGCCAGGGGATCCATAGCTGTACGTGTCGGGCAGACCTGCGCTCCACACGACGCCAGGCAAGGCTGTCGCGGTCGTTGGACCTCCGAGCAGCAGCCTCGGCCGCCTGCCCGCGCATGGCACGCACCTTCGCCGCGACCGCGTCGAAGGCCTCGGCGAAGGCACTGGCGTCCGCCACGCGAACAGAGCCTTGGTCGATCGGCAGGCGGGCGGAGAGGTCAGGGCACGATGCAAGAAGGCGGGCCGCAAGCAATGCATCCTGGCGCCAGAGGGCCCGCGCCGCAGTCTTTAAGCCCACGCACGTGGCCTCGACATTGCCGCCCTTGACCTTCAGGGAGGAGTTGGTGCGCAGCTGCTCGTCACGGATCCGAGCAGCAGCCAATTTCACGCAAGTCTCGGTGGCACGCCGGCGTTCCTCGACCGACGCCGCCTCCAGATCGCAGTTCGTCATCATGAGAGAAGACGTCTCGGGGCACTTCGGGTGAAAGAAGAGGCGCGACGGGATCGCCTGCTCCTCGCGCGGTACATGTCGGGCCATCTCGATCTGCAAGACGAGAGGCGCATGGTCACGGAGGCCGAGCTCCGACAACTCCATCGCGTCGCAGGCGGTCGCGAGGCGCGTGGAGACGGAGAGCATCGCATGCGCGTCGATACCCAGGAAGACGCGGTCAATGACTGAGAGCTGCTGGCTGGCCTTGTCGTAGCGGGCGGGCCACTGCGCCTCGATCTCCAGGGCCGCGGCAAAGGGTCGGCGCCACGCAGGCTGTCGCAGCTGGTAGCGTTGATCAGGGCGCAGTCGCCAGGTCTCCTCTGCCACAGGAGACCACTGCGAAACTGCAGGGCTGTCCGCGATGTTGAAGTCACCCGCCCCGATGAAGATGCGCCTCAAGTGGTCGTCCGCGGCCCAAACGAGGGCATCGTTCCAGGCCATCTCCACCGCGGCGAAGTCGCCATCAGAGAGGTCGAAGATGCGACGCTCATGATCTCGATGCTGCACTGCGACGAGGGATCGCCAACGGTGAGGAGGGCGACCCTGCCAGGGATCACGACGTCGAAGGGGAAGGCGGGCGCCACCCCAAGCGAGGTAGCCGCGGGCAACTGCGGGACCAGAAGGCAATGCCACCCACACCAGGGGAAGAGCCAGGGGCCAGAAACGAGAGGTAGCGCTGCGGCTGTAGCTGACAGAAGACCTTCAACGCATCCTCGGACCCGCGGATTTCCTGGACGAGGATCATGGCGCCCGCCCGCACGCGAGAGCTCAGGAGTGCCAACTTGCGGCGCCGCAGACGCGGGTTCGAGCGGAGCCAGCCTCTGGCGTTCCACACCACCAAATGTAGGCATCGGGAGCGAAAGTCGGAAGTCGGTGGGCGCCACGGAGCCCAGCGCGAAGTGCTAAAGCCACTCCGTGCGGTCCTCCAGCGAGAAGGCCTTCTTGAACTGCTCGGCGATCGCGCCCCTGTCGATGGCCAGCCGCGAGACCATGTCCATGTTCCAGCGGATGGTGGTGTCCGTTTCCCGACGGTCGCCCATCTCGAGTTTGGCCAGCCTGACGCCCTGGGAAGCGATGGTGCCACGAGCCCGCTGGGCGCAGAAGGCCTGACCAGGTACCGATTCACTGAGGATGTTGGCGAGACGCCTCGTTTGGATGTTCATCCGTACTTGCTGCGGGGATTGGTCAGGAACCACGTAGAGCGGGACAGTGCCACCGCCAACCGCTTGGCATTGGAAGGAGCGCCATCCATTGGGAGCCGCAGGGTTACGCACATGTCGAGCCAGCGCATGAGCACGCGGGATGGCGATGTCCAGCACGCCCTCCACGACAACGTTGAAGCGCTGACTGGGGACGGAGGAGTCGAGACGGACCATGCTATTGTCGAGGCCCGCAGCTGTGAGCCAGTCGGAGATGCCAGCGCGGACTTGCGCAGGGCCAACCAGTTCAGGTGCACCCACGGAAAAGATCCTCGCATCAAGAAGCCTGGACCACGCCTCGAGCGCCTGGAAGTCGATGATCGGTATCTCTTTCTCGGCATTGGCGAGCGTCTTCTCGATGTCGTCGATCTGGGCCCGTATTCGCCGTTGTTCATCAACCAGGGCATCCGCTCGCCCACCAACTTTGGCAACATCACGGGCGTGGACAACGAGCGACTTGGCGACGTGCTCCTGCTGGGCCTGGACCATGCCCACAAGCTGCTGCTGGCAGGAGGCGATCTGGACACGCGACGACGCGACGTCTCCGCCAGCGCCACGGTGGCCTGCTGCATACAGCTGTCCAGCGCGCCTGGAAGTCGCCAGAGATCCCCGTCGGGGTGGGGCATCCTCCAACAGGTGTGCCGGGGAGCGATGTGCGCGTTGGCCATGGCCCACCTCCAGGTGCTTGCCAAGGATCAGGTTATTCGGCAGGTCGTTGCGCGGCAGGATGATGCCGATCAGGATCTGAAAGGGCGGGCACAGCTTGAAACTCATGCATGGGACGTGGATCCCGTTTGCCATCACGACGGGAGCCAGGGACCGCCAGCACGTCGTCCTTCCTAGCTGCTCTCCGTCTCGAGCGGGCGCTCCGTTCCTCTGTACTTCTCGATAAAGACCTTCCAGAGGCAGCGGGGGAGGCGGGTTCGCGGCGCTGTCGTCCAGTAGGGGTAGCAGCACCTGGTCCGCGGTGACCGCCGCCAGCGCGCCCAGAACCACGAGCAGCGCCGCTCTCAGCTGCCATGCGAGCGTACGTTTGCCCAACGGGCAGGAATCGAACGCTCGGTGGGAGCGGTCTCGAACAGGGAATATGGAGGGGTGCCAGCTCACCCGTGGTTGTCGCTGGAAAGCTTGGACTGGCCGCGGACTAGCGGTATCCATGCCCTGCTCAGGCAAAGGGGACATCTTGAGACAAAATGGCTACGGATGATGATGAGGAGGAGGAGGAGGAGGAGTGTCAATGTGTGAGCATGTGATTGACAAAAACAGGAGGTGATGATTATGATGATGCTGATGATGGTGACGACGATGATGACGACGATGATGATGATGATGATGTTGTTGTTGTTGATGATGATGACGATATGGTGGTGGTGGTGGTGATGATGATGATAATGATGATGATGATGATGATGATGATGATGATGATGATGATGATGATGATGATGATGATGATGATGATGATGATGATGATGTGGGTGGATTCCTGTTCCTGTTCCTGCGCGGGGGGGTCCAGAGGAATAAGTCCATGTGCGACGGTACCGCTCACATCCTGGCCACGCCAACAGAAGGCTAGCGGATGGCGCAGCACGAGTGCAAGCTCGGCAACACAAGGCTCCGCTCCTGTCCTCTCCGTTGTGCCCCCCTCCCCCCCCCCACCGCCACAAACCCCACCCTGCGGAGCACTGAGGAAACGAAAGATGTGTGTGGGGGGGGGGGGGGGCAGGGGCGAACTTGAAGAGGGCGCATCAGGGGTGACCTCCAGGCCGCGAGCCGAGAGCGCACAGGATGACACTGTGATACGTCGTGTACTGCATGTTCGCTGGATTTGGCACTGAGGCGAACACACGTCTCACCATGACTCGGCCGACGGATACTGGTGGTGAGGCTGTTATTGCCCAAAGCTACACAGATGACTTCCCCCTCCTCAGCATCATCACCAACATAATCACCATCACCATCACCATCATCATCCTCATCAGCATCATCATCATCAGCATCATCAGCATCATCAGCATCATCAGCATCATCATTAGCATCAGCATCAGCATCATCAGCATCATCAGCATCGCCATTGTCATCATCACCAGCAGCATCATCAGTGCCATCTGTATACATCAACAACCTCATCATCATCAACAGCAGCATCATCATCCTCATCATCACCACCACCACCATCATCATCACCATCATCACCATTATCATCATCATCATCATCATCATCATCATCATCATCATCATCATCATCATCATCATCATCATCGTCATCATCATCATCATCATCATCATCATCATCATCATCATCATCATCATCATCATCATCGGCATCATCAGCATCATCACCATCATCAGCATCAGCATCAGTATCAGCATCAGGATCAGTATCATCATCATCAACAACAACATCATCATCATCATCAACAACATCATCATCATCATCATCCCCTTGTACTTCATGATTGTCCTTTCCTTCTCGTTCTTGTCCCTTAGCTACCCGTACCCCAATTTTCCTTCCCCCACCACTGCTACTAACCAACACCACCACCATCACAATCACCACTGCCACGTGTCCACACCCCGCCAACACTGCCAATACTAGAGCCAACCACAGCCGTCGCCACCTCAACCACCACCTCTGCCCTGGCCGTCGAGGTATTACTCTTCTGCCACCACCACTGCCACCACCACTCCCGCGCGCGTCCACCATTGAAGCCCCCTTACGGCGGGATTAGCTCCCATTGGGATGCCGATGCTCCATTGGCCCCTGGCCCCCATCCACTCCTCTCCATCCCTCCCCACGCGCGCGGGCGTGAGCGTACGCGCCTAGGGTGGAGGACGGAGAAGGAAGGATGTTGGGTCAAGTTCAACTCCCCACGGAATCATCAAGCATGTCAGTGTCGGCCGGCGGGGAGCCACTCTCACAAGAGAACTACTGTCCAAGAGGAGAAAAGGGGGGAAGGAGGAGGAGGAGGAGGAGGAGGGCAGGACGAAAGGAAACCAGAGATCTCCCAGGCTGTGAATGCACAGGTATTCCTGCCTTGCTCCAGGGCGTGTAGGAGTACTTACGATGTGGGCCTGTACCGTGCCTGCACGATGTGGGCGCGTGAGAATGCCAGGTGCTGATATGTAGGGCTTCTGTATGCTAACAAGGGCCCCCCCCCTGCCAGCAGACTGTCGCGGGCATCCCCACCCCCGTCCCGAGGCCACGATCCCCAGTGAAAGAACAGTAACTCCTCCCTGTCACACCCCAAAGCCAGTCGGAAAGGCGGGGCGGGCGGTTCGCCGGAGACTTCCTTGCCATGTATGAACGTCAAGATTAACAACTGGCAACAATTTCATAAATGGAGGGCGGGTCGCTTCCAAAATGTGCCTGAACCTTAGCGCCGTGCACATTCGTTTCAAACCTTTGCACAAACCTCACGGATTAAGGACAGGTCGTTTTCAAAATGCTGCTGTCGCCTCAGCGTCGCGCACACTCGTCTCAAACATTTGCAAAAACTTCTCGGATTGAGGACGAATCGTTTTCAAAATGTAGCTTTCGCCGTAACGCAGCGCACACTCGTCGCAAACATGTGCACAAACTTCACGGATTGACGGCAGATGGTTTTCAAAATGTGGCTGTCGCGTTAGCGCCGCGTACATTCGTTCCAAACATTTGCAAAAGTTTCACGGATTGAGGGCGGGTCGCTTTCAACATGTGGCGTTCTTTTTAGCGCCGCGCACATTCGTTTCAAACATTTGACGACGCTTCACGGATTGAGGGCGCGTCGCTTTCAAAATGTGGTTCTCGCCCCAGCGCCGCGCATATTCGTACACAAACTTCGCAAACGCTTCACGGATTGAGGACAGGTCGTTTTCAAAATGTCGCCGCGCATATTCGTTTAAGAACTTGCAATGGCTGCACGGATTGAAGACAAGTCATTTTCCAAAATGTGGCTCTCGTCTTGGCGCCGCGCAATTTCCTTTCATCATTGTACAAACGCTTCATAGACTGAGGACAACTCGTTTTCCAAATGTGGTTTTCGCCTTAGCGTTGCGTGCATGCGTTTCAAACTTACCCTGTGACGTACCCAACCCATCTGCATCAAGTGACAAGAGGAGTTGGCCCAAACTTGCCACGACAATGACAATGCAGACGCCGTCATACGTTGTGCAAGCTACATGGGTTGCGCCCACGCGGTACGATTTACAGGACAACGACAAAGGGACGAGGAGCGAGGGCCCAAGCTTGAGGAGGACATGGGGGCGAGAACGAAAAGCAGGAGAAGGACGCGCGGGGGGGCGAACCTTCAGCGCGGCAGCAGCAAAGGGAAGGTGGCAAGGGGCAGAAGACGACGACGAAAATGACGGGAGGAGACCGAAAAGTGTTGCTTTGTCGAAAATACGCTAAAGATGCAGCGCTGCCTGCACCATGTCCCTAGACCAAACGACAACACTCCGGCAAAGCGTCCTACTTTCGGGTGCCGAAGAAGGGGCCAAGAACAGGGGGGTTAGCGCATCATGCCCCGAAGCACGCACGCAGGGAACATGCTGAAACAAGATGAAGGGGCCATGGAATCCGAGAGACATCTTGGCCTGGCCATGACATCCCCCCCCCCCCAGCAGTTCCGACCCTGGTACCTCGACGCCAACTGGCTTTGGGGCCACAACTCGGGCCTCCAGCGGCCCTTCGGAACGATTCGGGCACCCCCAGAAAGCTCTCGACGAGGCGCAGCTGCTGGAAGGCACCCTTGGCGAGAAAACACCCGACAAATCCGCCGCCTACAGCCTAGAGCCTGAGCTTCAGCTCTGCTGGGGGGGACCGGGGGGGCTCTGCCAAGGAAGGGGGGAGAGGGGGGGGGGAGGACAAGTTGCGGCGCGCTTTCCGGGAGGGGCCTTTAGTTTGAAGGGGGCTGGGGGGCCCAGCCAACAGCTTCGCCTTAGGCGAAGCCAAGCTCCAGCTCTGTTGTACCGTAGTAACGATAGTCCCAGCAGGAGAGGATGTGCCATCTTAAGCCATGGGAAGATCCTATTGAACTCACGACGTTGTCGATGCTTTTCCCCAGCATCAAGGGGGCGAATGTACCCCCAGCCCACCAGGGAAGGAGCCACCATGAGACGACCTGGCGATCACCCCCCCTAACTTCCGTGCTGGCCGTTGCCTCGGGAAGCGGGAGCTGAGGCAGAAACGGCCTTGCACGGACGGACGAGAAACCCTCGCCGCATCTACGCGCACGACGCGTCGTAGTGCAGGGGGGGCGGGGGGGTGATCGCGCGCACTGCGACGCGGCCTGCGCCCTGCGAGGCGCCCTGCCACGCGACGGCAGGATTGCGCGAAGCAGGTCGCCCTGTGAGGCGCCCTGCGACGCAAATCGCCTTGTGCGGCGCCCTGCCAACGGACGGCAGGCACTCGGCCCCGCGGGGGCGTGACCCCCCGAGCCTTGACCCAGCGGCACAGTAGGCGCCGACGAAGCCGGGAAAGGCCGCCTGCGGACCACTGCCAGCACAGCTGGCACTGGCAATGCTCATCTTGACCCTGATGTGCGAAGCATCTGCGTCTCTAGATCGCCCATTATCCGAAAAGCTTCGCCTTCCTCCTAATAGGGTCAATCCCACGACGTTGTCGATGCTTTTCCCCAGCATCAAGGGGGCGAATGTACCCCCAGCCCACCAGGGGAGGAGCCACCAGGAGACGACCTGGTGATCACCCCTCGAAGCAGGCCCCGTTGAGGCGGTGTTCCGTGAAGCGGCGTGCGTTGGGTGCCGGCGGCCCTCTTCTCCTGCGGGCCTCCGAGCGGGCCGAGCGAGCGAGCGGATGCCGTCTTCTGTCGCAAGCGCTTGGTCGGCCGGGCCGTCGTCTGCTTTGCAGCAAAGGCGGCCGGGCTATCGACGAATCGCTGCATTAGCGTATCCAGGGATGTGTCGGCGCACGCATGACGCATGACGTCCTCCGAATTCCACCCCCCCCCCCCTTGTCGTTGGACCACGTGCGGGGGAAGCTTTGCCACGTGCGTGAACCATTCCGCTCCGCCTCTACGAAACGAATGCGCGCTAGCAGCTGGGTCCTTAAAGTGAGACGAAACCGCCTTGCGCCACGAATCCGCGCTAACAGGCTGTAGTTTGCAACCTGTCGTGGTGCAGAAGAGGAAAGGCACGTCAGCTGCGTTCGCAGCTTTCCAAATCGCCCACTCCTGGAGGAATTTCGCCGGGGATAGCCCAGCAATGGCCTCGAATGGAATGAAGCACCATTGGCCTTTGCCACACGGGTCGTTCTTCTGTTTCCTGATGAAACAGCAAGCGCACGCGGCGTTAAAATGCACATCTTGAACGCGAATGTTGATCGCCTCCGAAACGCGTCGCAAACCAAAAAAAAAAACACAACGACGCGAAAGCTGCATCTCTCCGCCCAGCTGGCGCGCCGGTTGCTGTCCTGGCCGCGCAAAAGCGCGCCCACTCTCCTACACTAATCGCGCGTTTTTGGTGCGATACGTGGGAAGCCCTCTTTTTTCAGGCCTCGCCAAAAATGCATGGCCCGATCGTCCCAGCAATCGTCGAAAACATGGCTGTAGTTGTTGTTATGGTGCCAAATTCGAACGGCTGCTTTGTTGAGGCGAATGGCCTGCCAAGCCACCCCGCCCACGCTGGCGAACAGGAGCATTAGCTCATCCGGCGAATCCACCGGGAGCTGGAATCGACTTGCTGTTCGAAGCCGTGAACGTGCACTGCGACGCGGCCTGCGCCCTGCGAGGCGCCCTGCCACGCGACGGCAGGATTGCGCGAAGCAGGTCGCCCTGCGAGGCGCCCTGCGACGCAAAGCGCCTTGCGCGGCGCCCTGCCAACGGACGGCAGGCACTCGGCCCCGCGGGGGCGTGACCCCCCGAGCCTCGACCCAGCGGCGCAGTAGGCGCCGACGAAGCCGGGAAAGGCCGCCTGCGGACCACTGCCAGCACAGCTGGCACTGGCAATGCTGATCTTGACCCTGATGTGCGAAGCATCTGCGTCTCTAGATCGCCCATTATCCGAAAAGCTTCGCCTTCCTCCAAATAGGATCAGTCTCGATACCGATTGCGTGCCTCGCGACGAGGCAAAGTCATATTTGGGCGGCCGGCCGCTTGAGCCGACGCGGCCGCGGGCGCACGCTCGTTTCCGCTCCGAACTCCCCTCAGCTCGCTTGAGAGTCGGGGGGGGGGGGGGCGAAGCGCGAGCCCGTCGCCCCTACACAGCAGGCACAGCAGCTAATATACACAAGGACAGAAAAAGGGGTGGGCCAGAAGGAAGGTGGACACGCTCGCAAGTTGCCTTGCAGGCGGCGTCAGAACTAGATGTCTGGTGGAGGCCTGTATACCTCCCATGACTTGTAAGAGCATTTCTCTGTCGATGCCCCCCTTGGCGTGACCATCCGCGGACATGTCGCGGGTGTCGCACCACTGAATGCCGTGCACGATTCCACGCTCCATCATCTGTCGTATCCAACTTATGTGTCCTAAAAGGGTACGCCCAGTCGGCTTCTTCAAGTCTTTGCTTGACAAGGACTTAAAACAGACTCAGCATCTATGGTCGAAGTAACCTTGATGCTCAGGCCACCCAACTCAAGTACATATTTCAACTGAGTGGGCGTGAGCGGCCCTGCGTGGAGCTCGTGCAGAGTCACAATCGTGGGAAAACAGTACTGCAAATTATGGGCTGCTGCTAGCGTCTTGCTGCTAGCTTCTCCGCTCAATAGCTCGAGCGGACCTGCAAGCGGCGAGACTCGCAGTACGCATCGATCAAGTGAACGACAGGGTTGCCGGATGACGTGCTTCCACGTCGTAGCAGGTTTGCCCCGCGAATACCATAGCCGTTGACGTCGCCATCGGCGTCTCCACCCAGGCGTCGGCATCCTGAGACGCTGTGCAGGTCAACCTCGCGCGTAGGGGTCATCGCCTGGTAGGCGATCTTCTTTGGGCAGGCCTGCAGCTTCCTGGTGATCGCGCTCAGTCGTCGCACTTGAATGTTGGTCGGTTCTTGGACACGTTGTAGAGATACAATATACACCATCAACCACACCTGAGTGATTAATGCATACGCCAGAGCGCCCCTGAGGCTGACGAGCACGTCCGCAACCATCTTGGATGCCTTAGCGTCAGCGCAGGCGCCGGTAAGTTCAGGACGTTGTATAGGACGGAGCTGCTTGATGTACTCATCTTGGTCCAGAGTGGCATGACCGTCCTCATCCTTGGTGTATATCACAGCACATTTGGTGCATGTGTGCTTCTTGAGTTTAAACTTACCATCCTGGGGGGTAGGTGCGAAATCCTCGTCGACCGTGGTTCATTATCAAGGAATGATAAACCTAGGTTCATTATATTCAGATGATTCCCTGTGGTTTATTGCCCTGTGGATGGATCAAGCTGAGCCCCCCCCCGGCTGAATCATAATCTTTCCGGAATAATCAACCGAAGATTCTTATTCCAACGCTATGGACCACGGTTTATTTCAAGCCGGTCATTACTCTCCCCCCCCCCGGCTGAATCATTATCATTCCAGAATAATTAACCCTGGGTCAATATTCCGGAAACATTATGAATCCAGGTTCATTTCATTATCTCCTGCAGACAATGAACCTGTGTCTATATTCCAACATGAAAAGCCTGATGCGGCACCCGGGCGCTGGGGGGAAAATAAACAAATTACTATCATTCCTGAATGACAAAAGCCGGGCTCATTATTCTCGGGACAACATGAACCCGGGTCACTATTCCCGGAACATTAAACCCAGGTTAACATATTTTTGGGATCGGTAGGCCCAGAACATTATAAACCAGGGTTTACAATGTTCCGGGGGGAACATTATGAACCCCAATCACTATTTCCGGAACATTAAAACCCATGTTCAGAATGTTCCCGGGGAGACATTATGAACCCTGATCAATAATCCCGAAACATTATAAACCCAGGTTAATATCTATTTGGGATCCATCCTGACAAGAAGTGTCTTCTACGCACTTGACAAACTTGTCAATGGTGTCCTCAGTACCGGCCATATTGGTATCATCCACGTGTTTGGCCGCGAGCAGGTCGTTGCCCGTCTCGAACTCCTCGTCGCATGAGGCGGGTCGGAGACAAAAACCTCTGGTGGTCCGTCTGAGCTCTAGTGGGAAAGCCCGCGGTGCGCCTTTGGTGCCCGCACCTGATTTCAAGCCCTGCAAGCAATGCTTTGACTCGTCGCAGTGCTCGAATCCTGGGAAGTTCGAAGCACTGTGGCCGATCCAGGCGGCAGAATAAAACATACCACACGTTCCTTTTCAACCCCTTCAGGAAGGCCATGTTGATGTCGAGGGCAGCAATGATCCATTGCTTCTTGCACGCTGCCGTGCAAGCGAGTAGCCTCTGCCTTGGCCCTCTTGCCGTTCCCGAACAGGTTTCTACGTCGAAGGCTCCAAGGTCCATGAAGCCTCGGAATACCAAGCGTAATCTGAGGGTGCGTTCCATTTCGCCCTTCTCGTTGTTCACATACATCCATACGTACACGCACCTCGAAGTCATGGTTTTCGACGCTTTAGCTATATCTTGCATATTGAAACACATGTTGTTGAAGCATATCTTGAGTTCAGTGTAGAGGGCCTTCGATACTTTATCGGGATTCGCCTGGACGTCAGCCTTCGCGAGGAGGTGGTCTTCCTTGACGACTACAGCTCGCTTTGCAGCGGCGGCAACGTATACTCGCATAGTGTCACACGGTCGTCATCTAGTATCATGCGTTGTTGTTCGGACAGGACTACCTCTGACATTTCTGCCGCGAAGAAGAGTTCGACATATCGACAATTTTCGTCTGAATCCAGTCCGTAGTCGTCGTCTTCGACCATGGTGCACATTGGGACGTAGTACGTCTCCTCGGTGTCGGAGTCGCGAGTGTGTCCCCACTTAGGCAGGTGCCCCCGCAGTTCATCAGCTACAGTGATCAGCACACTTTGATATGGAACCATATGCGCGGGCATGGTAAGAAGGTCCTCGGGTGGAGTTACCTCCAGCAGTTCCCTTTGCCCTTGTAGTTCTGCATGCCACACTTCCATGACATGTGACTCGACATCAGCCTCTGATTCCTCGTAGATCGTAGAAAGCCAACCATCATCATGTGGCGGTTCGGCTTCTGAGGTTTCTCTCGCGGTTCCATCCGGTGCCGGTGTATCCGCCAATTCCTCAGATCTTGCCATGTCCTGATCAAAACCTGCTTGAGGTTTAGTGGACTTCAGGCATGGGATGATTCTCGAATGTACTGATCCAATGATATCGTATATGTTCAGCGCAGTGCCTTCTGCTTAATAATAATGCAATCCTGGATTCACATCGTTGTCATAGTGGACCACTGTCAGCATAAAGTAACAGGAAGTTCACGAGCGCTGAAACTACATTCTCAAAGCGGAAGAAAACTGTGATAAGGTGCTGTACAGCTATGTACCTTAGGAGATAGACGGCTCGCACTCGTCATCTGAAGCGCCCCTTTCTTGGTCGACACATAGCCAAAGGTCAGAGCAGGTCTCCCCGCTGACAAACAGGCCACGAACGTCAACACTGCACGTAGTGCAGTGTTGTCGGAGCCAATCTCTCGGGCTATCAGTGCTTCAATATAGAGTGAATGTCGTGCATCGCTGTATTGTTCTCGATGCCGTTCCAGCCTCCCCAATCATCCCTCGTTGATGTGGGGCGATTGTAATCGACCAAGTCCCCTTCGTCGTAATAGTGCTGACCAGTGATAGTTGTCCCAGTGCGCAAGGCACGATTGGTCTTAGCTACTGCTGTGGCCTCAGTGATAGCTTCAAAAGATACCCTGCGCATCGTCTGTTCACGAGAATGGTCCGACGTTTCCGTCGACTGCTCGTGGTCCAAGACAGGTAAGTCAGGAAGCATTCCTGGTTGCCGTCCAAACAGAGCGTTATGCGGAGACACCTCGTTGTAGAAGGCGAACGCGTTGGCGGCGAACAAAGCCTCGCGCAGTAGCCGTGTGGACACAAGAGGTATGTCCAACCTGTGAAGTTCAGCTTCCATGACAAGAAGTAGATTGCGCAAGATGCCAGATCTGGTTTCGATCGTCGCAGCGCGCTTTCCACGCGCATGTATCCTAAGTTCAGCGCCCTTTTGCCTTAAGGACTGCTTTCGCAGTGTCGTTGTTGAGGGCACCCTCTCCGTCGGAGCAGAGTACCTTTGCAAGTCCAAACTGCATCCAGCACTGATAATATGCATCAAGGATACTTCTCATAGTCTTGTCTGGTATCTCTATCCCAGTAGCATATCGTATACAGCGATCGATGATATGGAAGATTGTGTGTTCTTTTTTGTAGAACATCAGATCACATTCCACTTCAGTCGGAGATGGCCATCCGAACTACCAGCTCCACTCGAAGCAGGTTGCCCTGCAGCAGGTTCAGCAGCATGTGTGCCCACGGTAATATCGTGACTGCGCGCGCCCGCTGTAGGTCCAGCTCTTGAGCCGGGCCTTGGTGCTTTTAGCCGCGTGAATGGTGATGCGGCTGGCGCCTCGGGCGGTGGTGCTGCTCGTTCAGCAGGAGCCGGTGGTGCAGGTCCTGCTGCCGGTTCGGCAGGAAACGGCGGTGCCTGTCCATGATTGTCGGGCAGCTTCCAGGGCTTGGCAAAATTACATTTGCCAGATGTTAATACGTGTCCAGGCCTGTTCTTGCCGTAGTTCTTCCTACAGCTCGGACCTTCCCAATGGTGGTCGTCCTTATCGTACCACCTACAATGTCTAGGATTTCTGTCATGTGAGGGAGAACGCATGTTAACATGATCCACGCATGCGGGACACCCGAGCCCTCGCGAGGGTG